AGTCTGTAGAAGTGACCTGATCCTCATTCTTCTGGCCTGTGTGCTGCTCAGTGTGGTGAGTGTTAGTTATTTCAACTGCTGTGAGCTTATCTGTTGGGCAATCGTCTTTTGGTCTCAGGAGAAATGTATCCTTAGATGAACATTTCTTCTCTTTTCTTGAGCCAGACATTTCTTGTGAGTCTGGCATGCAGTGTGTTGCTTCAAGTCGTATTCTCCTCCATGGACGATTATAAAAAATAAAAAAAATCTGGCAAATGTTGCGAAAGACTTTCTGGGAATCGCCCTCCACCAGCTTCCCCCAGCAGTAAATACTTTTCCCAGCGTCTCCTTCCTTTGTCTTTGGCTGTGTCATATTTTGCCAAAAAGTACATCCCTGTAGCTTGTGTCTTTGTTTTGTGGCAGTGAGGCATAAGGCAGGCAATGAGGATGGGGACGAGTTGGCGAACCCTCGACCCCCGCGTGTGTGCTGATTGATTGACATCTGGCCGTGGTGATCGCCTTCTCTTGCCTTCTACTCAGCCATTGGATGAAAGCCAGGTGTTAGAAAGGCGACTGTCCTGCACTTTGGAAAACTGAAGCCAATCAAATGCTGGACATCGACTCAGTTTGCATGACGCGGGACAAGTGATGAAATGCTGTGCAGTCCCGCACAGAGCAATGAAATCACAGAAGAGCAGACTAATGAGATTTATTTTGATCATTTTTTTTTATAACTTTTAAACTTTGTCCTGCCTCCCAAACATCCTCCTGAGACTCAAACTCAAACATGAGCCCTAAAAACATGAATTCAGCTGCAGGCTCTTGTTTCTGAGTTGTTGAGGAAAGTATCGACATTAGAGCAAAGCTCTCCTCGTGTTAATTCCTCCCCTGATGAGAGTAAACAGTTAAACTCTGCTCGGTGTTATTAGAGGTGCAGAGGGAGAGTTAGTGACACACTCAGCCTCTCAGATGTTTTTACACCAACATGAGCAGATTTACATGCAGGATGCCCCCACCCACCATTGTTCTGCAGAGGGGAGGGAAACATTGCACCGAGGTTTGGATATCTGCTGCAGACCACCCAGAGTTCACATCTGACCCCACCTCACCCACCTCCCACTCTGAACCTCCCCAGACTCCCCCCCACCGTCTCAAAGAGATGAGATCCAGACGTTTTGAAGGCGCTGAACGCAGAGCTCACTGACATTAATATGGGTCAGAATAGAACGTATCATTTCATGTGAAACTGATATATCTGGATCAAAGACAAATCTAAATGTTAGCTCAGCAGCTTTTAGACAGACTGATGGAGTTCAACAAGCTTCAGAGGTGAAGGAAAAACGATGAAGACAGTAGAGAAACACAAAGGAACACATGGCAGACAAATGTAGGCAAGTTTATTAAAAAGCACCATTCTTACATAAAGCCTCATATTAATCGTGTAATATTTGAAAATTGCACACATTTGTCTTTGTATTTATTTTTAATTAGTCAGATGTGACTCTGACTGGCCCACCAAATTAAAACGTCTTCATATTCATAAACCTCTTTGATTCATGACACTTTTTGCCTTTTTGCCTTGTCTGCTACAATCTTTTTTTGATTCATTCACATTAATTAACGCATGTCATTAATGAATCATCACATTATGTTCGTCAGTTGTCCTTACTGTAGGATACTCGTTGAGTTGCTCCTCCTGAGTCAATAAAGAAAACTTCTGTGGTCCTTTTATCAGGTGACGCTGCTACAACCTGTAAAACAAGACACAAAATATCATCGATGTCTGCAGTGGATCGGCTGATCTCACTCGTAGATGGTCAGTTCCAAACACAGCCAAAAACATCACAAAGTGACATAACATGCTGCAGCTTGGGAGACAAGGATTTCTATCTTTGTTGCCATGGCATCAAACAGATATTGATATTGTTTGATCAAAGTTTAAAATTGTGGTATTGTGACAACACTAATTACCAAGAGTGCTTTAGCCAACAGTTAATTAAAAACTTAAAATGTAACTGGCAAAACAAATCCATAAAGAAGGATTGAAACCTTCCTTTATCATCCTGAGACATCATTTATGGTATGTTTTATCTACAGCCTGATATCTACATCACAAACAGAATTTCTGCAGAATAAAGTGCATAATCATGTTTTCTGGTTTGCAGAGTAGTTCTGTCTGTAGAAGTGTGTCAGTAGTGATTCTTCCTCCTCCTCCTCTTCCTCTCTGAGTAGAGAGTCTTCCTCGAGCTGACACCGGTATGAATTATGGATTCAGAAAGAGCCTGGTGTCTCTCAAACTGTCCTGTTCCACTGACCCACATCTGCTGTTTGGACCCCTCTTGTTTCAGCAGAATATTTAATTCCTCTACATGGTTTGAATTAAGGCCGAATCAATATATCTCAATATATATGAATATATACATTTTCTAATTTGAAGATTTATTTTGGGGCTTTTTTCCTTTATTTGATAGGACATGGATAGAGTAGGAAACAAAGGGAGAGACAGAGCGGGTAATGGTGGAAATATAAGCTACTTGGGTGGCCCGCGCTGACGTGAATGCAGCTTGTTTTGAATACAGGAGAAATACAAGCCATCATTTAGAAATGAGATCACATGTATGTGTGAATGGATTTTTGTTACCATAAACCATGCTGCCTTTGACGTAACCACAAAACCAGCCCCCAAAATGTTCAATAATTGGGGGCTTTTTTTTACTGGGGTTATGGATACTTTTTGATACCAAGTTCCTCGTTCACTAAAGGATTGCGCTGCTTTTTCGCCCGCTAAACCCGTCTAATTCACAAAAGACATAAAGGGTTAAATTCTCCCCTAACTGAGCTGCAGAGCAAACAGCGTCTCTGCACGCCATTCGTGTTTCTATGTATTTAAATTAGGGTCAACTGATAACAGTTTTTCTCCAGGGCTGATACAGATTAATTCATGTCGACACTGATATTGTGTTCTGTTTGTTCTTCAGTGACTTAAAAAAGCTGTGAGTTCACTTCAAGAGAAACGTGTAAACACTTCTTTAGCTTCACAGAAATCAAATGTGAAAAAGAGCCTACACTAACTTGATGAATAAATAACTCTGTCTGAACATTAATCAGACATCAGTGAATACTCCGCTGAAAATTATTTATTCTCTTTTCTCAGATCTTAAACTCTAAGCTGTTTTTCTTATCTGAACATTAAGTCTGTGGTTGAGAGGATCAAAGATATTAAGGAGACTTTAAAAACGCACTTATAATACACACATATATCCTGCAGTGTATCACTGAGTGTGTTCATTAAAGCACCCTGAGAACTGAAAAACAATAAACATTAAAAATACATCGGCATCAACACGTTTAAAGAAAAACAAACAAGAGGATGTTTAAGCTTAGGTTTCTCTTTTTCTGTAATTTATTATAAAAAAAATGAAGCATCTGGTGTGAAACATTGAAGGTAGTTCCAGGTTTCATGGAGGTGACCATTATAACCAGCCGGTCCTGAGGAGAGCTAAGGCTTTACTGGTCTGGTCAAACCGCCCACTCCACAGAGAGTTTGAGCTTTTACCCTCATCAGGTCGTTGTTTCAGAGCTCCTGTAAGGAACACGAGAAGACCCCGGGTCTCATTTGTCCCCAATGGAGGAAGAGGAGGAATATCTTAAATAGTAATCAGCCCTCTGGTTGCTCTATTTGAACTTTAACTGCAGATTTGCACACCTCCACTTTGCACTTTACTCACTTTGCTAGGAATTCCAATTTTGGTTTGAGCTGTGTTGAGGCTGTAGTCCTCAAAGCAGGCAGCCCAGGTTTGAGCACGGCCTGTGGTTCCTTCTGCATGTCATTCTCCGCTCTCTCTCTTTCTCTCCCTGATTTCTGACTCTATCCACTGTCCTCTCTCTAAATAAAGACATAAAGCCCAAAATTAAACCTCGAAAAAATACACTGGCGACGTTTTGTCCAATTCAGACACTGTGAAGGAGTTTTCCTGCAATTTTTGGTAAATTGAAATGTTACATTTTTTTTTCCAAGATTGGGTGTCTAGGACTTTTATTTTGGTTGCCATGGTATCCAACAGGCATCAGCATCGTTTGATTTTTTTGTTTCTGGTCTCGTAACATCCCTAATCAGTTGAATAATCTGCTGTTTTCTGATTCTTTCAGAGGTCATGGGAGGTTGTTGATGTCTGACCCGGCCTCCATCAAAGGAAACCCATCAGAGTAGCTCGAAGACACAGCGACGGCTCCAAACATGGCCGCTCATCGAATCAGAGCCACGGCCACAAACAACACGTCTCTCCCTCGCTGCAGGTCTGAGGGGACCCTGATCGACCTCAGTGAAGGAGTGTCAGAGGCCAGCCTGACGGATGTTAAAGGTCAGCATGTGTGTCTGTAGTTTTATTACGGTTTCGTTCATTTGTGTGTGCATGCAGCCTGGGATTAAAGTGACTTAAATGTGCATGACAAGATGTCACATTTGTTGACCGCTGGCTGCAGGAGTTTTAATATCAATTGAGGCAGGGACACGACTTCTTCAGGGACGATCAATGTATCCACTCCTAACCTAACCTGCTGCGCTGTCATTGGCTGGAGGAAACACACCAGCTCCCCCGCTCAGAAACCTCCAGAGTCAACCAAAACGTGAAAATACAATCAGAGGACAGAGTCTCTGCAGACACAGTCACTACCACACATGTACGGAGGGCCCTGAAGTGATGATTTAGGGACATTACTTTTGTACGAGTCTATATTTTATGTTTTGGAAAAAGCCACTGACTCTGCCTTTAACCTGAAAGATGATTTCTTCAATGATCCTTTCCCAGTTTTTACAGTACCTTGGCCCGGTTGAAGCATTTAGAAAACTGTGAGAACCGTGTGTCGTACAGGTAAACGGTCAACTTTGACACTGAACTGATAAAACATGGAGCAAACAGTCAAAAGTTTCATACATTAAAGCCAAATCTGATTTAATCTGAGAGCAAATGAAAAGATTCCCCACACTCAAGATGGCTGAACTAAGCGATGAAACTTCTCATTTGCTGTTTCCCGCCATCACCACCAGGCCACACTATCTACAAACAACATGCAGCAACATTTCACCTCCGAACTCTAAAGCTTTAGTCCCACACATTGTTTCCTCTCGTGATCTTCAGCACATGTCATCTACCTCTACCTGACACTTTTGTTTTTTCTTCCAGTGCCTTCTCCCAGTGCCTTACGACTGGACACAACGGCCTCCTTCGGTACTGCCAGAGAAGTGGTTGCCATTAAGGACTACTGCCCATCCAGCTTCACCACGTTAAAGTTCTCGAAGGGAGACCGCCTCTACGTCCTGGACTCTACAGGAGGGGAGTGGTGGTACGCCCACAACAACACGGAGATGGGTTACATCCCTGCAGCGTACGTGCAGCCCATCAACTACAGAGACTCGTCGTTCAGTGACAGCGGGATGATCGACACTGTGGGAGACTGTAACGAGGAGGCGGCCAAAGAGATGGACCTTCTGGGAGAGTGGGCGGGAGTGATCCTGAAACCAACCACCTTCCAAAACGGAAATCCTTTTGGAACAACTAATACCTCGACTAACCCTTTCCTAAACGGGGGTCCTCAGAGTTCGCTGGATCAGAACAGCAATGAGAAATCCGTGGACCTCCTTCTGTTTGATACGCTCACTCCTTCAGTGCCGAACTCCACCAGCAGCACCGCCGACATTAACGGATTTGGTGGTGGTGTTTTTAACTTGAACGCTATCAGTCCCTCTGTAGGGCCGGGACAAACGCTGCGCAGGGACAACCCGTTCTTCAGGAGCAAACGTTCCTACAGTCTGTCTGAGCTGTCCATCCTGCAGGCTCAGTCTGACGCCCCTCAGGCCTCCAGTTTCTTTGGAGGCCTCAAAGCTCCGGCACCTGAACAGTTCCAGAGCAGGGAGGACTTCAGGACAGCGTGGCTTACCCACCGCAAGCTCGCCAGGTCCTGCCACGACTTGGACTCGCTGGGCCAGAATCCAGGCTGGGGTCAAACGCAGCCTGTGGAGACCAACATCGTCTGCAGGCTGGACAGTTCAGGAGGGGCCGTTCAGCTTCCGGACACCAACATCAGCGTCCACATACCCGAGGGTCACGTGTGCCCGGGGGACACCCAGCAGATCTCCATTAAGGCTTTGCTCGACCCGCCGCTGGAGCTGAACAACGACCGCTGTACCACCGTCAGTCCGGTTGTGGAGATCAAACTCAGCAACATGGAGACCAAAACCACGGTCACGCTGGAGATGAAGGTGTCAGTGGTGGTGAAAATGGAGAGCAGGCAGACGACTCAAGTCCTGTGTGTGAGGAGTGACTGTAAAGAGGGGCCTTACACACCTGTTCCTCAGGCATACCTGTATGGAGACACAGTGCAGGTGTGTCTGGACAACCTGGAGCCGTGCATGTATGTGTGCGTCGTGGCTCAGTCCCAGTCCTTACCTGCAGACTCCACAGTTTGGGAACATGTGGTTAAAAAGATCACTTTAGGGGTTTATGGTCCCAAACACATCCACCCGTCCTTTAAGACAGTCGTGGCGTTGTTCGGTCACGACTGCGCTCCAAAGACTTTATTGGTGAGTGAGTTGGGTAAACCGGTGCAGTCCTCTCCGTCGGTGGTGTTGCAGCTTTGGGGTAAACATCAGTTTGTGTTGTCCAGACCGCAGGACCTCCGGGTGGATGTTTACTCCAACATGGCCAACTACGAGGTGAAGTCCAGCGACCAGGCCAAGGTGGTGCGAGGCTTCCAGGTTAAACTGGGAAAAGTCAGCCGACTCGTCTACGTCATGGCCTCAAGAAACACGGACGATGTTTCAGATTTCACTTTAAGAATCCAGATCAAAGACGACAAAGACTGTATCCTGGCGCAGTTTTGTGTCCAGACACCGACACCTCCACCCAAAGCAGGTCCAAAGACATCAGTGCAACGGCGCTTCCTCAAGAAGAAGGAAGTGGGGAAGATAGTCTTGTCTCCTCTTGCCATCGCCACCAAATACCCCGTTTTTCAGGACCGGAGGATAAATAACCTGAAGTTTGGAAAATTAATCAAAACTGTCATCAGGCAGACTAAAAACCAGTACTTGCTGGAGTACAAGAAAGGAGACTTTGTAGCTCTGCTGAGCGAGGAGAAGATTAGGCTGAAGGGCCAGCTGTGGACTAAGGAATGGTACATCGGATACTATCAGGGCAGAATGGGATTTGTTCATGCCAAGAATGTTCTGGTTGTGGGAAAGGTTAAACCCATTTATTTCAGCGGGCCGGACCTCACAACGTCGCTGCTCCTGGAGCAGATTCTGAAGCCCTGCAAGTTCCTCACCTACATCTACGCCTCTGTAAGAACGATACTGATGGAGAACATCGGAAACTGGCGAGCATTCGCGGACGCCCTTGGCTACGTGAACCTGCCGCTGACACACTTCTGTCGGGCGGAGCTGGACAGCGAGCCGGAGCGAGTGGCGTCCGTGCTGGAGAAGCTGAAGGAGGACTGCAACAACGCAGACAGCAAAGAGAGGAAGTCGTTCCAGAAAGAACTCCTGACGGTGAGTTACAGCTTTGGCTTCCTCCTCTGCTGCTGTGACTTTGCATTTTCTCAGTCATTGTTTTGACAAAATGCAAATTGCGCTTCCTGATTTACGCTGTGAGAGTCAGCAGCGTCTCCCGTCCTTCATGTGTGTGATTAAATATCCATGTGTTTGAGCCGTTCTCTTCCTGGTCGGGGATTTCTCTCTAAGAACACATTTCTTTCTTCTTCCTGTTATCTCTCCATGACTGCTCCAGGCTTTTTTTTCTTCAGGCCTTAAGGCTCAGAGTGTTGATTCTGCAGGGCAGGGGGTTCGATATCTGCTGTGTCGGCATGAGGTCTAATCGGGACCTGAAGAGCTTTGGAGATCAGCACAATAATCTGTCCATATACAGGCCAATGTTGCTGGAGTTAGAGCTGGTGTGTGTGTGTGGGTGTGTGTGTGTGTGTGTGTGTGTGTGGTTTGCTGATTTTACAAATCAGATTGATCTCTCGGGCTGCTCCGATCATTTTCTATCTTTATGTACTTATGAATCAAAGCCTCGAGGGAGGAAATCATCCAAATGAAACAGAGCCTCAGACTTTTATTTGCAGTAGAGTCTTTAAAAACGGGAACCCAGAAAGACAGACAGCTTTAATCTTCCTCAGATACACAAATGAGAGAAAATGTTTGACTTTGACTTGAATATCAGGCGGGAACTCTTGAGCAGAGACGCTTTCTTACCTACAGTATAATCAGCCACTACAAAGTGTTGTTTTCCAACGCAACAGCCTTAGAAGTGACATCTCTCTACTACTCTCCATGTGTTAATGTGTTAATGTTTTATTTCCTAACAAAGGTTAGACTGTGTGTAAAACATAAATAAATACATGCCATGCAGGGATTAAGTACTAAATAACTTTATTGTGTTTTCTAGCTTAGCAGTCAGTCAGAACGAGGGATGCAGTTTTAGTCGTCTAAACTTTTAAACGTCCTGACCCCCTACTAGTCAAAACGAATAATTGACATGTTGGCCCTCGATGCTGGTGAACTATTGTGCTCAAACACCAACTCAGCCTCCTGTTAGCTGGGGCTGTAGCCATAGACTGGATGTAGCTCCTGTTAACGGGCCTGCTCTCCTCACTCTACTACCAGGATGTGAACGAGCACAAGTAACTAATGACATCTCGTAGTAGCAGAGCGGATTGGAAGTATTTTGATGTAGAAAATGGAGCTGTTGAAGTTGTATGTTAGGTTGATCAGAGCAAAGTTCAGCACAGGCATGTTGATGTTCTGGGCGAACCAAATGACATTGTTTACCTGCAGAGCGTTTGAAGAAATGATGCTTGATTTTGAGTGTTTTCTTACCTTTCTTACCTGCCAATTAATGAAACAGGATTTAGTCTAGGATATGAGTCGGCTGGGAACAGTTCTTGTCAGAACTGAAATTGAACATAAATAAATAAACCTCTATAAAACTGAGTTTTTAGGTTATATTTCCGTCCCTGTTTGAAGTCGTATTTTAGAGTGTTGGTGATTGCTCTGAATCATCATCCTCACGATGTGTTCAGCCTCTCTTCCTCCGTCAGGGTTCACAGGCGTCTCTCTGCTGAAGTAACTCGGAGCAGAGACTCTGTAATTTCATGAGGTTCTAAACACTAGTTAGAACCATTTTTAGACGGAGAAACTGCAGCATGGGAGAGAACATAATGGAAGGTGGGGAGTGAAAACACGGCCTTTGACGGAGTCAGAGCTGCACGATTCATGTCTGAATACAGGTTTGTTTTTTGTTTCTTCCTTCAGGATCACACAACACTACCGCGGACTAAAGCTAATTAGAAACCACGCAGACTCTTTGTCGAGGAAACACAGATGTGCTGTGTGTTCCTCCTGCAGACTCAGATGTTGGTTTTTGTTGTGAGTGAGTGCGGAGCTGAGTGAGACTAAAAACTGTCAGATAAAAGACTTTTCTTTGTGAATTAACGGCTCCCTTTGTCACAGAGGAGATCTCTGATGGTTTACTGCTGTGTCATTTAAAATGGGATGGACTCTGTTTATAGATTAAAGCAGCAGAAGCGTCTTTGTGCTCAAACGTCTGAGTCTTTTCTGCTCGCCTCTGATTGTTGTTGGAATAAAGCTTCATCAGCAGGACGTGAACACACAGACAGTGAAGTGCGTTTGTACTTTTATAAATGTCCATCCCTTCTCTATATAATTACCTCCAATGTGGCCAGTTTATTTATATCATATAAAGAATCCAGACTATCTCTATGCCCAAACCAAGATAATCTGAATCTTTTTTTGTCATTTTCTCCTAAATGTTTTCCAGTAACCAGGGCCCTGGGAATTTAGTTTGGTGCGCTTTGGAAGGTTTCTGAATGCAACTGCACTTTCGTAAAACACACACAGGGCTGTTAAAACCTTCCTTATGAGACAACGTGCATTTTGTGACAAACAGAGAGTGAAGACGGTGAGAAGCCAAAGAACCACGACGATTTACCAGATTTTGAGCAAATCGGACTCTGCAAGCGTCTGCAGCTCGTTGTTTGCAAACTGCTTGCAGTGTTTGTTCCCCTCAGTCCGTAGGGGCTTGGGTTGTGAACTGGAGGGTTGCTGGTTCGACTCCCGATGCGGACTATAATATGGAAGTTGGTCTGGTAGCCGGAGAGGTGCGAGGGCACTTCCTGAGTCCTGCCAAGGTGCCCTTAAGCAAGGCACTAAACCCTAAACAGCTCTGGAGCTCCCTGTGAAGCAGCCCCTCTTTCACTCTGACATCTCTCCATTAATGCATGTCCACAGGTCCTGTTAGGTAATGTGTGTGTGTGTGTGTGTGTGTGTGTTTGTGTGTGTGAGAAGCATGTCTCTAATGACAAAGTGTAAACCAGAATTCCCCCCTCAGGGATTAATAAAGATCTCACAATAAAATGAAATACCAACGTATCCACCGTGTTGCTAGTGCAGGTAAACTGTAAAAACACACTCAAACTCTGCTCATGAAAACGTGAATTAGAGTTTAACCACTTCAGTGTCGGGGAATACTTTGTTCATGTTTCTATATTCAGTTTGTTTGTTGATTTTGATGATTACAGATATCAGACTTAAGTGTTTTCTCGCCCATATCTGATTTCTAAATCGAGAGCATCAAACTTTAGCAAATGTGGTCATCTTTAAACTCTCTCTGTGAAGTTCTCGAACACTGCAACTGTAATGGTATCTGTGTGTGTGTGTGTGTGTGTGTGTGTGTGTGTGTTCGTCAGCAGTGTGGTGTGAAATTAAGCAGATGGTGTTTTTGTAGCTTTTGACCTCAGGAGAAAACCTTGCGACAAAGTGTGTCAGATGACGCATTCAGCAAGACAACTTCTCAACTTCATTTTGTTGTTTTGATGCCATATAGGTACACAAAGAATAAAAACATTTGACCATGCAGCAAGACAGATAACAAATCTCCAAAAGGCTTCAACAACACAAACACGACTCAGGGGTTAAAGGTCAGTCACTGAATTAGCTGAGGTGACACTTAGCAGACAGCTCCCACCTGTCACTCAAAGAGGACACACCCTCTAATTATACATCTCTTGCAGCCTTAATATAATGTCAACAGGTTAGTTGTACAGTTTTCATGAAGAGAGAAATGATCTCTAGAGACAAAAACAGTTTTCATACCAGGCTGTAAACATGTTTATTTCTGCTATAAAGTTAGACATTTTATCATGGGGCTCTATGGAGACTGACTCACTGCAGGAGACACACTCTAGTGGACACTGGAGGAACTGCAGGTTTCGCATGATTCTTCTTTATTTGCACCATGTATTTCCTTCCAATAAATTATGTCAAAGTCAAATGTGCAAGGCTATTTATCGTGATCTGATGCTGCTGGATTGTTGTTTTTTAATGCAGTAAGGATGGCTGTCAAATTTTCCCGCTCTTTCCGTACTTTGATACCACTTTTAAAACTTAAAAAAAATCTGTTTTTCTCATGATCGATAGTATCAGAAAGTTCAAATGCTTTAAAAAGCTACTTCTATTTCATTGGACAGGTAGGTAGGAGAGGAATTAATCCAACAAAATAAAAAACAGCAAACTCAGCACATTTTCTAAGTTAGACAAAGACATCGGCAATGATTTGGAAATGTTGCCAATGTTTTTGTGTTTGTGTTGTGAGTTTCTTCAGAGGTTATTCAGTCTATGTGTAACACGGTCAAATCAGAATTTCTCCCCGATCAACACCGACCCTCTCAGATACTTTTTTTTAGATTCTCATTCTGAAAGTTCCCAGGTAGCACCATCTCTGTGAATGAATCGGTCTTTGTGTGAATCAGTCACATGTGCATGTTGTTTGTTGTTTTCTGCGTTGTGTTGTTGTTGTGTTTGGACGAGGGAAAGGATCCAGTGTGTGTCTGTTGGATCTTAGTCCTGCAGATGTTTCCTGCCACATTGTTCGACAACTAAACAGACGCTCCAGACGTCGACCTGCAGGCGCCTGCAGACTTCCCATAATCCTCTCTGACCCAGACCCCCTGTGCACATGTCACATTGGTAGCTCAGCGTTATCTGCTGCAGGTGAATTATGGGACACACAGGTCCTAATTTGTGTTTTAAACAGCGTGCAGCGACACAACAAGAAGACAATGAATGAGATATGAATAATTCAGACTGTAGTTCTTACTCTGGTTTTAAACATTTAAACGTGTGACCTGAATATCTGAGAGAACACTCAATGGTTTATGCAGAGCGCTGGCTGGCACAGGGCGATTTATAAGACTTCAAGGAGAGTCAAACGTAAAATTATGTTTTGTGATGGAGAGTTAAAAAGGATTTTTGAACAACAATAAAAAGTCTTAAAACATGAATAATAATTGATCCTTCTTCTTATCTGATGATGTTTGCAGCAGACAAGCTGCATCAAAGCTGTGAGGAATATTTAACATTTTCCAAACATCCATTTAAAAAAAAAAAAAAAAAAAAAAAAAAGCTGCCGGCTGAATAGACTCACAGGGGCTGAGGAGACGAGGACTGTACGGTTTGTGCGTTTTGAAGAGAGAATTAGAAGTTACATATATTATGATAATATTGCAGTCTTGCGCGACATCTGCCAGACATTTTTAGATCCTAAATATTCAACATGTTTGAAATAAGCTGGGGCGTTCCCAGACGATCGCCGAGTACATCGGGGACAGTAAGATTTGAAGTTTATGCCGCACAAGATCACACTACAAGATCATCTGGGCAGATAATCGGTTCCGAGCAGCCTCGAGTCGGGAGCGACCCCGTGATTGTCGGAAAGTGAGCCAGGCTTTACACTTCAGTTTAAGAGATTTACTTTGAAAAACCTGCCAGCTGTTGCTGCTTCCTGTTTGTGTGAGACGACAGCACAATGCACTGCAATAGTGGGTTTACATCAGCTTTGTGTAGCCTTTTACCATGATACCAAAAACAACAAAAACTATTTTAGTTAGGATAGGATATGATCGTACTTTATTGATCCCCAGAGGGGAAATTCGGGCGTTGCAGCAGCACAGACATGAAAGCTCAAAATACACTTTAAACAGATTAGATGTGATGTAAAAATATCGGAATCACTACAAACGTATTGGAATTGGGTCAGAAGTGAAAAAAAGTAGATGTGTGCATCTCTAAAAGAAATATAAATCCTGCTTTACAGAATGGATTTAAATACAGTGACAGGTCAAAGTGACAGTAACTTCAATCCAATGAGTGTAAATGAAACATGTGAAACCTGAACGGGAGGCTTTACATTAAAGTGATGATCAGTGACTTTAAACAGCAGCAGCAAAGATCTTCTATTTCTGTTCTGTACACACGTCCAGATTTCTCTCTCTGCGTTATCTTCATCCTCCCTTCCTCTTTTTCTCCTTCACTTCCTCCTCCCCCCCTCCTCCCCCTCACTGGGTGTGTTTCTCTGCTTCTTCTGGAGTAATTGACTGAAGTTCGGATCGGTCCCTCTCTGGAGATTTGTTCTCGTTCAGGAATGTGGGAGTTTTATTTCTGAGACGCTTCATGAAGAATGAATATAGAGCTCAGACAGAGAAACACACTCTCTCTCTTTATACAAAGTTATGTTTTCTTACTCTGATGTTGTTTCTTAAAGTATTTAATATCTAATGACCATGAAGTCGATATTGTACAGCTCTCCGCTGTGACTCGTCTCACATGTTCTGCTCTCAAACAGGAAGTCCTGAGAGGTGGGACATTTAAAGCGATTCCAGAAAAAAAGAAAGGTTCCTGATTTGTCCAGAAGTTTTTCGAACTCTGCTCGTGAGAACAGCTCAGAAACAAAAACTTCAGAGTGTTTATGTAATAAGAAAATAAACAATCAGTACAGACCTTTTGTTGATATTTCTGCTCACTGCCACATCGTTTCTGAAAGATTATTCAGAGCTTTATATGACTAAGATCAGCACAGCATGTACTTTAAAAGACGTCAACAAGGAGTGAGAAGAATTTGATTTATGACTTCACACTGTTCTGTAAGGATGCGGGGGAGAGGATCCTCTGTATCTTAAAGTTATTCCAGAAAGATAACCACTAAAATCAAAGGCGATCAAATGCTAGGAGGGAAATAAGAACGACCCTAGTTACAAGCCAAAACAAAGACGCTCCCTTTCCTAAACATTAGAGTGGACATGTGGGAAAGGAGCCACAGGTCGGACAGAGGTCACCCACTCTCGAGGACCAAGCCTCTGTAGACTACAGACGCCTCAGCTTTATAATTTTTAAACTTGTTTTCATGCAACACTCTCATGTGGCAGGTTTGAATCTTCCTGCTCGATTACAGCACAATTTTAGGTCACACTAAACACATTTAGCATGTGTTGATGACATCATAACGTTGTGATGAGGTGAAAGACGAGAGCCTCAGCTTTCTGCTCCAAAAGGAATGACTGATTTGGCTTCTATACTTTTTTATTTCAGGTCAGTTTAAAACAGCTTAATGCAGACGATGATGTTTCATGGCCTTCTGCAGGAGGAGGTCTGTGTGTAAAGGGTTAACGCCTTTTTAAAAAAAAAAATGTTGACCTTTGTTGATAAAAAAGGTGAAGAGTTTAAGGGAGGCAGCTTTCAAACCGAACTGGAAAAGGAATGAAAGTGCAGAGAGGCACAGATGGAGAGTGAAGGCTGCAGATGGGAGAGGTGGATGAAGTCAGACGGAAAATGAAGACGGGATAGAAAAATAATAAAGAGGAGATTGAAGAGGAGAGACGGCGCGTCAGTCTGCAGCCGAGAGCGAAAAACCGAAACACGAGCACGATGGAAACACCACGTTCATCAGAAAAGCTCACACTCTGTTACACCCAGGGTTCACACTGTTAAAGGTGTGTGTGTGTGTGTGTGTGTGTGTCTGAGTGTGTGTGCGGACATGATTGCTTCATTTCCACGTTGACGTTATCTCCAAAAAAACGTCTACAGGAATTTTGTCCCTGTTCTGACGTGCAGCTGATTTATGCAGCCTCGGAGCTGCAGGGCCACAGAGCTCTGAAGAACAGTCTGTGGCATTTAACTACCAAACACACACACACACACACACACACACACACACACACACACACACACACACACACACACACACACACACACACACACACACAGAGTCTCATAATGTGCTCACACAGACCAGCTGACATTTTAAAAACAGCAGTGTAGCATTAAATCTGTCCTCTCTCTCTCTCGCTCGCTCTCTCTCTCTCTCTCTCTCTCTCTCTCTCTCTCTCTCTCTCTCTCTCTCTCTCTCTCTCTGAATCTTTCCGGATAAATTAAACTGCAGCGTCGCCGTCTGCTGCAATGTAATTATCAGTTCAAAATCGGACTCACATAGCCTCTCACTTTGATAAGTACTTTCCAACAAACATCAAAGATTTACAGCAAAAACAGAGGAGGGGACAAGAGAGGACGAGAGAGCAGACCCGTAAACTCATAGGGATCAAAAGAAGTGAAATTGAAAATTACTTCAAGAAAATATTTGATGTTGAAATTCATCTTATCGATTTCTCGCAAAAAAAAGCGCAAATAAAATCCATTAAAAGCATGACATAAAACATTGAAATGATTTGCTTTATTAAAGGTTTTTTTAATGGCGTAAGGCTTTCCGGAGGTTACAGAGAATAGAACTAAAGTTTGTTGACATCGATGGTCCGTATGTGTTTTCATCATGAATCCATAAAGCAGGTTTTTGCAGCTCTCCTCTTTATAGACTCAAACCTGCTGCAAGACAGGAAGTGACCCCTTTTATTTTTGCAGGAATTTCCTGTCGATATCCAGCGAGGAAACAGGTGTTCCTTCTCTGTTCACTAACACTCAGGAAGACGCTGAAACAAACAAACAAACCAACAAATACGTACAAAAGGTGTCACTGAGACTGAGTCTGGACACGTTTGGTGAGTTCAGTTGGTTTCCGAGCAGCTTCACCTTCATCACACAAACATTCGGCTCATCTGGTTGGCTCTCAGCCGCTCTGTTATCTCATCCTCATGAGAGTCGGAGAGGCTGCCGGAGCGATCGGCTGCATTCCTCACCCCGACCCCCCCCCCCCCCCTCCATATTCCTCCTCTTCCTCCTCCTCCTCCTCCTCCTCCCTCCACATCCTGTCGTTCCAAACATTCCTGACCATGAGGCTGAAGCCAAAACTGGAGCTTTGAGTTCACCTCCACTCTTGAGAGTCAGCGTGCATTTGTGTGTGTGTGTGTGTGTGTGTGTGTGTGTGTGTGTGTGTGTAGTTTGTTTTTGTGCTGTGCTGTCATTTATCTAATCTGTATAAATACTGATGCTTTTTTATACAACTGAAGTTCCTATTGTATAAATAAAGTTAGTTCAAGTGGAGTGTGTGTTTGTGTGTGTGTGTGTGTGTGTGTGTGTGTGTGTGTGTGTGTGTGTGTGTGTGTGTGTGTTGCCGTGTTGTAACCAGGAGAGTAATTCCTGAGTGTTTCTGTCAGAGCAGCAGCAGCAGCAGGAAGAAAGCATGTGAAAAATGTACAAAGCTGAGATTTACAGACGGATTGTGAAGCAGGAGCTGGAAAATACCGGAGGATAAAGTCAGAGGAGTGAAACCAGCACATGAACATTTAATAAGCTCTCTGTAGAGTTCGAGTCAAACGTCACTGGTTTCTGCTCTGTTTTCCTCTCCTTCAGTCTGAGCTCATATCTGGTGCTTCTTCACGGTTCACCTCTGCAGGATCCAGGATTTGAACCCGGGGCCCTCCCTCCTTCCTGCCTAGCTCAGCCTTTTTTTTCATGTATTTATTTACTTTCTCCACCACTTCAGGCTCTGTTAAAGATGGACTGTCAGGGACTGGTGGCGCGGCTCGTCATGGACTTTGTGCTCCTGACCACGGCGGTGGAGGTGGCCGGACGCTGGAGGGAGCTCGCCGAGAGGCTCGCCAAGGTTTCCCGTCAGCAGATGGACGCGTACGAGGCGCCGCATCGAGACAAGAACGGAGTGGTGGACAGTGAGGTAAGAATCATGTTTAATGAGGTGTGTTTGTATTTGCTCAGGAGACTGCCTCTAGTGGACACTGGAGGAACTGCAGTTTTTCGCTCTTATCTCACATACTGAGTTTATTTTAGTGATCGATAGAATCGAAAACAGCCCGCGCTGTAACCTTTTCCCTCTCCTCTCGTCTGCAGGCGATGTGGAAGCCGGCGTACGACTTCCTGGTCACGTGGGCAGCTCAGATCGGGGACAGCTACAGAGACGTGATCCAGGATCTTCACCTGGGCCTCGACAAGATGAAGAGCCCCATCACCAAACGCTGGAAGCACCTCACCGGCACGCTCATCCTCGTCAACTGCCTGGACGCCCTGCGGAGCTCCGCATTCAGCCCCGTCTCTCAGGACGACTACGCCATCTGACCACGCCACCCCTTCCCCCCTCCTCACCAGCGTACCTCGCTCTCCGGGAGCGTTTCAAACAGATGAGATGCTGCAGATTTGCAGTTTGCTCTCTTTGCTGTCTTCTGCTCGCCTTCAGCTCATTAGAGGCGCTGCCAGGCTGACCCCGCCTCCCCCTCGGCTAGTGGCCAATCAACACAGAGCTGCGGTGTTGGTTCACACAGACTCTTTTAATAGTCCTGTCTGCATAGTTGTGTATTTTTGTACTCTTGTTATGGCACAGCATTTTATAAGGCTTCACTTTGAACAGTTTGGGTTAAAAACTGTGGATCAGACGCCAACAGAGACACTTTTTTCAGAAAAGACGCTTTTTAATATCGGATCCTCATCACACGTGTGTCAAAGCTGTTCTATTTATTTGTACAACAAAGAGAAAAGTCACTCTGTCTTCTTCTTCGGATTCTCTCACTGTGCTCCTTTTCCATCTCTGTAACCTTTAAAGGGTTATTCTGCTCGTTTTAAACCTTGGCTAACCGCTTATTTTTTACATGTTTTGAGATCAAAAAAGCAACTCAAACAAACAAACAAAGGAGGCCGCAGTGGACCAGCAGTCTCTCTCTGTAGGGATCCTTAATGTTATGTTGTCACACCCTTAGACTAACAATCTTAGCCGGGATGTGACGAAACCAACAACGTTTAGTGGACACACTTTGATCCATCATGTTGCAGACACCACGGCCTGTTTCACTGCTGCAGGATGAAATGTATGAATTTCAAAGTATTGATGGATTTCTTCAGTCGTTTAGACTCCAGAATGATGTAAAAAAAAAAAAAAAAAAATCACAGGTTGAAAAAATACCAGAATGACCCTTTAAGTGCTGCCAAGAAAACAGAACCATGTTCTAGCTCTCTCTCTCTCCTCTGGTGCCAAAACATTTAGTCCATTCATTCAGGAGAAATAAATAAATTCAATCATCTATTTTCCTCGTTTGCAGAAAATAAGTTCAACAGTGTGCAGCTCTGGGTTGACACATTTGTGAGTTTTTTGTCTTTTATGTACAATCTTTTGAACGAAAATGTTAACTTTTCTGTTTTCTGACCACACTGACTTTGTTTAAAAGCTTCAGAGGTCATCTTGATGTTTGTCCACGTGGCCTCACCTGCTCCTGAGCTGTCAGCTTCATCTCTCCGTCTTCATCAGCAGATTCAGTTTGTTACTCATGTCAGAGGCTGCAGATCTTTGACACACTTCTCTGCCGCACACAACATTTACAGACGATACCGCTGAAGCAAACTATTTCATTTAGTGGTGAAGAAGGATGTCAAAATGTTCACTACTTGCATTTTAAACATTTACCAAAAAGCACTGACACTTTACTAAAATCTTCAGAGAGAACTGTCTCAAACAATGCCAACATGTTTGTACATTTAAGACAGTGTGCAGAAGTTTGTCTGCATATTTGGTAATAAAAAGAAGAAAGTAGCCAATATTGGGTGCCTAGGATTTCTGTTGCCATGGTATCCAAACGAGCATCAATGTCGTTTCATTTTGACTAGAATAATTTCAAAATTTAAAATCCGGGTATTGTAACAAGGGAAGTAGGGAATGTTTTGAGTTTTTTTTCTGTCTGTGACTAAAATGTTTTTAGAGGTGAGAGTTACATACTCACAGAGGGGTGCAAGCGTTAGATGTTGCATGGCGTCGGGCGCACAGCATCAGACGCTCGCTGTCCACACTGCATCCATTAACTATGAATTTCACGTTCCCCCTTATAAACAGAACGACATCCCGGTGCTTTTATTTTGAAGGTGGAGAAAAGGGAAGTGTAGTGCTTTGGTATCGATGAGACTTTTGAGAGCGGTGCGCCGAATAAAGTTTTCCACAAGTCAAAGCACAACATGAACATTTCAGTCACAGATATGATCATTATTAATGCGCCTCCATCTCAACTTTGTCAAAAAACAAGCTCACAAACTCTGTTGGGTGAAGGAAGCAAAAGAAAATCAAGTATGTTTTCAATTAGGACACTCCCAGCGCCTCATCGACCTTCCTCGTTCCCCGTCCTGCGAGCGACAGAAAGGATCGCTCACGGGCTGCTCGGAAACTCTAATGGGAAACAGTGTAATGGAGCTGATTCCATCTCTGAGGCTCGCTCACAAAACATGCTGTTAGGACACATACTCTTTAATCTTCTGCTGTGTGGTGACTAATAACTCCATCTGCTGATGAGGATATGTGAAACGACTGAAAGCTGCAGAATCAGTGAGTTTGGGTTCTTCAGTCAGCGATAAATCGACTCATTAATCTGTTAAAAAGACTATCTACATCCTTACTCTCCATAAAACACCTCTTCTCTCTTCTCCTCTGTCGGGTATTTCTTTGTTCTGTTGAAGAACTTTCTACCAAAGTTTGCCAAAAATGTCCACAGATCTGACGCCTTGTTCTTGTTTTGACCTCTAATGCTCTGTTTGTCTCATTGCTGCGTACTCTGTGCTCATCCGTCTGTGACTCTCAAACCTTTGTTTGTTTTTGTTGTGACTGCATACTGTTACTGTGGAAAAGACTGAATAATAAAATGTAAATAATTGTACACACACTGACTGAACCTGCTTCTGTGAACAGAATGTCACTGTGAGGTTTCTTATCAGGACTGGGGGAGAGCGACAGGCCGTCATGTGTCGTGCGTTATCAGCGTTCACTTTGTGGAAAAAAAAACAACCTGGAAATACAGAGTGTGAGAAAATGTGCAGTGCAGGGACTCGGAGCGCTTTATCTCCTCTTTGTGTTTTTGACCTCGAGCAGCAGAGATCAGAGAGAGAGAGAGAGGGGCGACTGCAGCTCTGAAGACTCCAGCAGTGTGCTCACTCATGTTCATGCTGCTTTTGTTACGTCACATGTCGTCTGTCTGACGGATTGAACCGCTGCAGCAACCAAAATAGTCTTCAGTGTCCAATAAGAGCTTGACTTATTGTTTAATCTCCCTGCAGCGCTCCTGTAGATCACCTGAAGGCACAAATGTTCTTGTTCTGAGGAGAACAAAGATTATGAGTCTGTAGCGCTGATAGCATCTTTGTTGTTATTACATAGAGACGTTTTTATGGGAGGCTGGAAACACATTTTAAAAGAGTGAACATTTCAACGTAATGTAAGGGAATTAAGCCACCGTGATGTTGGTTTGTGCCCTTCAGATTTGCATTTTTGCATTCATATAATTCTTTTGGGAGCCACGGATGACCATATTTGGAAGAGAGTGGGGAGCTAGAGCGAAACAGGAACTGTGAGATTACTCTAACTGTAGCTGGACAAAACAGGCTACAAACAAAATGTTGTGACTGGGAGATGATCAGCTGATTCCTCCGAGTGTCTTTTAGAACAGTGGTAATCAACTGGTGGGTCGGGAGCCCAAAAGTGGGTAGCGGAATCGTTTTCAGTGGGTCGCGAATGTCTGCCTAAAAAAAAAAAAATAGCTGTGTCAAAAAGTTTATGGAGAGCTTTTAAAACATGCTTGTTTTATTCTGTACTATCACGTTTTGGACCGTTGTAGTCCAAACCTCCACTTTTTTTTTTAATTAAATAAATCCAACTGGTCGAAAATATCAGAAATTTTGCGATTTATCATTAAGGATTGGTGGTGGGTCCTGAGGCTAGACCAGTTGAGAACCACTGTTTTAGAGCAAACTAACAGTGAACAATGACCTTTGTCGGGTTGCCATGACAGCCACTTTTCATTCACAGGAAGCCCCGTCCCAACTCCTTCCCCTGCTTTCTGGTGTCTTTGACTCTAAATGGGACCATAGTTTACTAAATGAACATCATGCAGTATTGAAGAAAAATGTCACTGAGTGAATACATCAGCTAAAGATGTCTGCCCTGAGCAGCAGATAGATCGATCCCCCCCTGCGGAGTCCAGACACTGGTGGTGGAGGCGTTAGCTGATGATGTCCTCCGAGCCTGATGGGATGAAGAATCTGATTGAACTGTGAAGAGTGGGGTGGATGAGAAGATGGTTGAGGATGTCACCTGAGGCTGATTGGATGAAAGATGATCGAACTGAAAGAATGGGGTTTCCAGGACGATGGCTGATGGGATGAAGAAGGTGATGGTGGTGATGGGGAGGGTCACATGTAATGATGGCTTGAATGAACAAGTGGAGGAGTATGTCATATTTCAAAAACACAGCAGTTAGTTTTCTTACATTTTTTTTCCTTCGAGTCCAGTCTGAATTCGGCCCTCTGCTGGGATCAGGATCTCAATCCGACTCTAAAGCCCTCATTAATCAACAGGTACACACAGATGTCTTCATATTAAGTGCGTAAACAGATTTCTAATTTCGGCAGAAATTGAGAGTGCACAGTGTTCACTCTCCTGCTTCTTTTCTCTGATAATTGGAGGGTTTTCACATCAAATGGTCCGTAACTATGCTTCTACTTTTTTCCCCCTCTGCCTCTCGCTCTGTGTGCCGTCAAGGCTAGCAGACCTTAATTAAATACACAGATTAATGGAGGAGAAAAAAAAGAGCCAAAAGGAGTGGAATTAATTACGGCAGAGTTTGAGCTGACATGCTTCAGATCCTGGCCTGCAGCGCTGTAATGAGCTCCCCCCGGGTGACAGCTCTGCTCGCAGCCTTCAGATCCTCCATAATCTGCACAAAGAGGAGACTAAGGGGCTGCGCGTCGGCATGCCTGCTTTTTATTGTCATGTTCAACATGTCTTGGATTTTTACTTCCCTCAGATTTGGCTTCAGGCTTTAGCATCCAGAAAAATCCTCTTGAATATTCTCCTTTCACACAATGCTGTGTAGTAATGTGTGGAATATTATCTAAAACCTGAAGCACCTGTAGCTCTCACTCTGGGCATCGAGTACAGGTCAGAATAGAAAAATTGAAAATCTCCTCTCTCCTGTGGGTTCAGAGCATGCGGCACATTTTCACACATGCAGAGTTAAAGTCTGTCTGATTGTGGCTCCCTCTCTGCTCTCGCTCCCTCATATATATTTCCATTTCCATAAAGCTGTTTCTAAATTTGGTCCTTTGTGGCGACCGAGCATGAAGCAGGAAATCAAAGTTCCTCAGAAATGCAGAGCAGCCATGCCGAAGCACACAAGTTGCTTTTCATCTTCCTCACATCAGACAAGTTGTGAGGATTTATCTTTAAACTCCTCACTGTTTTTATTACCAGAGGCTGTACAGGAGGAGCTAACAGATGTGGGAGGTGACAGAGGGGATGTGGAAATGAATCATGAGACAAAGTTCCAGTCGTTTAAAGTTTGAGTCATGAATCCAGGCCATGACTCGTTCAAATATCTTTCATTATGTTGGCTTACAATTTATCAAACTGACAGTGACCAGTGACCTCGATAAATGATGACTCATACATGTGACAGGAAAAGGAACTGAGAGGTGAAGCAACAATGTGTAGCAACATCTTAAAATAGTTGTTACAAAGACGATCTAATAGAACAATAACTGTCAGAGATAATGGTGTCTCTCTCATGTCCACAGAGCACAGTGGTCGCCTGATTTCAGCACTATTTAACTTTGGCAACAGGGCGAGGTCATCTCTCGAGAAGTGCGGGGCTACATCCTGTGAGACCTTTTTTAAATGTTGTCAAATAAACACATTTTTAGATGGTCATGTTGATTCCATACTGTGGACCTTGGTAACGTTCAGTTATTGGGCTTCTTACACCAGTTTGACTTCCTCTGATTTGGGTAACTTGGAAATGTTCTGATTGGCTGTTCAGCATGCACACATGAAGACACCATCCGAATTCGTACTTGTAGTCTGAGTTTTGTGAATGGTGCATTCATGGTCGCACAGACACTCAGGAATTTGGTATATCCAGCGCTTGGCCACAAAACTTTTTTTTTTACAAGGTCTCAAAATATTTTGGTGACAAGCTGAGTCACAGCTTGTGTTTCAGTTCTTCCAGACTTTGGAGGATGTGTTCAAGGTCAGGGCTTTGTGTTACAAAATACCAGTTCTGTCTTCTCAAACTGGGAACATCGTTTCATGTAGGAAAAGTACAAGGAACGAGACAAAAGTAATACTATCTAAAATGTCGTTATGATGTAGCCAAACAAGGTATCGATGCAGCCACCAAGACGTGGTTAGTGGACTACTGATTTGAAGCTTCGAGTTCAGCTTTTTACTGTCCCCATCTTGGTTTTCGACCATCATTAGACGACAGGCTGGAGCTGGATTTATAAGATAAGCTAACTAAAGAATGGTTTGTAAGATCGCAAGATTGCAAATTTTGGCCTAAAAAATGCTTCAAAAATGTTCTAATTTCCTGCAAGTTAGATCAAAATTGGCAGCGCAGCCTAAACAAACTGATACTTAAATAGATGTTTGTTTACATCCAACAGCTGAAGACAAAGTGTTGAATAGATGAACCCCGCTGAGCTCTGACACCATGATGGGCCTCGTCTTATTTTCTGGCTCTTTCTGTCAGCAGCAGCAGCAGCCAAATGAGTCTGCCAGAAGAGCAGCATGTGTAATATCACTCTTTTTAAAAAAAAAAAAATCTTTGAGCTGTCTCTTTCTGAGGCTGATTTCAGACGAGCAGAGAAACGGTCAGCATCAGTGATGGTGGTAACAGAAATCACATCACATTAGCCTGTAATGGTTATTTAAGACGATACAGTTTCCCTATCAAACAATGATCTCATTTATTGTGTTATTTATTGTAAGTTCTTTATTATCTGCATAACGGGAAAAAGGAAAAACACATCAAATGTCTCTTTTCATGCACACTTGGACAACACTTGTTTGACATTACTGAAGTGACATGACGTTGAAATTGGCTCGAGTCTATGTTGGAGAAAACCAAAATGGCAGAGCGATTTCAATCAGAACAGCTTCTGAGGCTTGAAGATATCAACACCAATGTGACGAGAATAAAACTGTATTCATCTAAATTTAACAGTAAAACTTCATGTCATGGATAAGCAGCAGGTAGCCATGTTGTTCCTGCTCCTCTGTGCAGGGTTCTGTGTCTGCAGACAGAAGAACAGACGTCTGTTTGTTCTCCGCTGAAGGTGACCGAGATCGAAACCTGGCAGAGGCCGACTCTCTCTGTGTACTCAGCACCGCCACCCCCCCGACACCCACCCCCCCATGTGTGTCTGTGCATGCATCCACAGTCCACACTCTTAACCCTTTGTGAGTGTGTGTGCACTAAACACACACTCAGATATGAGGGTTTGTGTGGAGATAAGAGCGCCCCCACAAACAGAAGCCCAGAATGAAAGACAAGAGGCCACAGGCTGGCTGCTCTGTGTTTACACACACACACACACAAACACACACACAAACACACACAGGTGCAACAGGAGCTCAATGAAACACAACACACATGGTCAGGTAACATACAAATCTTTGAATGGAGGTTGCATGCTTTTCATTACCATGGGATTTTTAAACTATGAAATCAATCAATTTAGAAAGTAGCAAAGCTTTAAAAAACAACATCTTTTTTTATGAAACAGGTGTGTAGGAAAGGAATGAATCCATTAAAAAATTGCAGACTTACTCCTGCACACTTCAGGACATATTTTTTATACAATTTAGAAAGTTTGTCTGCAACATTT